TCAAGTGCTAATGAAGATTCCAAGCGGCAGCATTAAGTACCCCGATTCGGTTGTAGTTGCAGTTGCAGTTGCAGTTGCATTTACAGTTGGACAGATGTACTTATAAATAGCTAAGATGCTGGCTGGCTGGCTGGCTGGCTGGCTGGTACTACCTCAAGTAGAGTGCCGCCAGGGCGGTGCCAGGCGAGGCAGTTTATTGCATCAGTTGGGCAAAGAGTTGGACGATGCCGACTTCGACAGCGATAAAACAAAAGTGCCTTTTGTTTCGACTGCTGCAAAGCCATAAGAAGACTTTGATGAATGTAATAGCCACTCTAACAAACTTTGGATATATAAATACACACACACACACAGAGAGAGAGAGATAGAGAAACATAGAGAGCGAGTGAGGGGGCGGTAGCAGGCTACACGCATTTAAATGCATATAAATTTAAAAACAAGTTGAAAATTTATGCACACAGCCCACACAGTTCCCAAGGCGAGCTAAATGGGATTTTTGAGGCGAGCAAATGCATAAATAAAACACACACACACACACACACACACACCCACATGCATACATAAGAGTTTGATTACAATATAGCATATAGTACGTATTAATAGAGTGGTAAGAACTTAATGCGATCGCAACAAATCTAAATAAAATTGATGGCAGAACGCACGCAAGCGCTTTGCGCTCTATTCCCAATTGGTGTCCAATTGGAAAGCGTCGCGCGCATCAATCAGTCTTTGATTGTGCTGGCAATATTGAAGGCGAAGACAAAGCAAAATGAAATTAGAAAAAAAGCATGGCGGCCGAGCGAGCCAAGGATTGCCAGACGTAATGTGCTAGAGCTGCCACTAAGCTTAGCAGCTTTTCGTGTCGCAGCCAATAAATATGTAGCTGGCAATTATTTTCGATAATTTGTAATTTCAACATCAACTCTGGCCTGGCCTCATTTTGACGTGAGTCGATAAATCAAATTTAGATCATTCGGTTCGTGGTCTCGGCGTGTGCGAAACGTACATTTTCAATTGAAAAAAAAAAAAAAAACTTTTTTTTTTTTGTTTCGAAAATTTTATTCATAGAAGTACAAATGGCGGACGATTCAAGTTTGTACTTTTATGGTTTAACTATCCGGCCGAAGCGGAAGTATACCCAGCAGGTAACCAGCTCGCTGCATATATCACAGGTTGCCTTGGCCTCCGGCGTCTGTAGCATACTCTACTTGAAAATTAACCATCGAAAGTTTGCCGTTGCGACTCTGAGCAGTGCGATTCCTCAAGCGCCATTAGATCTTAACTTTAACGATGGCGATCGCCTGCACTTCTATGCGGTCGGCAATGGCCGTCTGAGCATCTTGGGCTATGCGCTGGCCGTGCAGTCACCGGCCAGCCATGTGCGCCATACACAAAGAATGTTCCTTAACGACGAGGATAGCGGCGATAGCGTTGATTCGGATAGAGGCCTGACCGACAGCTACATTGATATTTCCGAGGACAATGGGGACAGCCGAAACACTCAAAATGCACTGGAAGTTGATAGATCCACTATGACCGGCGGGAACAAAGCGAGTACGGCGGTGGATACCGTCTATGAGCTGAGTAGCGACACTGAGCGTCCAGGCGGCAGCTCTGTACATACTGAAGAATTGCCTTCAACGCCAGGTAAGTGGGGATATGATGATAAAAGGGGTTGCGGGTGAACACGTTGTGGCATGGGTATGGATGGGAATAACGAATGATAACGAGAGAAATGGAAACTTACATTGGTATCCCACAGCTACGGAGGATAGCGATCCCCATACATCACCCGGGCTACATATAGTGCATGACAGAATTGAGTGCTACAATACAAATATCCGTGTAGTTCATGAATATCTTTGTGTAAATGTCCACGGTATTGGCAATCGAAATATACATGAAACCTATAATAATGCCGATGAGAGTGCTGACGAGATTGCTATTGATAATGCTATTGAGAATGTAGCTAATGCGGAACAGAAGGACAATGATGACAATAATGCTGACGAATTGTCCGCTGCATCGGATGCAAATCAATCTCCGTCGGCCAAGCGAGCCCGACTCTCGAATGCTAGCGATGGCGAAGAATAAGCTCTTATGAATAACAGAAATAAATGAGACGGTAAGAAAATGCATAAATATTTATTTATTATATTATTATTATTATTATTATTATTATGCATACATCAATTATAGTTTGCATTATTATTACATCATTTATTGTTGTTGATATTTTTCGTTTCAGAGCTTGTTCATGCATGATATATCTATGAATGTATATGCATGTGTGTAATGAAAAATAATCACGAAGAAGAAGCTCTTTTTTTTTAATATTTAACAGAACAGAATTTGAAATTAAAACCTATAACAAGGACTGTAAAACTACTACCTTAAAACAAACAAAAAAAATACTATTTTGAAGAAGTATTCCTCGATGTGGAGTTTATTGCTTGAAATTTTCTGTGGTAGAAATTTTTTTTTTTTTTTAATTAATAATCAAAACTATATAACTAAAAACTTGAAACCTGAAAACTTGAACTAAGGGACGAACTGAATATGAATGTAAACCTAGACGGTATATAGTTTGAGTAAACTTTTTTTGGAAATACTTTTTATGTACTTTAATCTAATTCATGTATATTTTTTGCATTAAAATAACTTGAAAAGACACGTATGTTAAAAAATATAGTGAAAATATGCATTGAAATATATATACATTCACTTTTATGTTTATTTTGCTTGTTTTTTTTTAAATTAAAAGATCGTGCCTGAACTTTATTTGCCTACTGCATATTTCTACACCTTAGACACCTTATCCTACATCCGAGCTCTTAATATTTACTATTGAGCTGAAGGAATTGGTGAAAGCGCAAATTAGCGCTGGCCCGCCGCCCATCTCGTTGATAGAGAGGCATTGACCGTGAGCCGGTTGGGAGCACAAGCACCTGCAAATTAAAGCCATTTCGTATTGACACTTTGGGCCGTACCCATCGCGTCCCATAAGAGTGGCGTGGAGTGGCTGGACTGAGTGACAGTCTTAATTACAGAGAGATTAGCATGGTTGGGCGCAGAGGACGTTTGAGCCTCGCCCACAATCTCAGTGGCAGTGCTGAGTGCCTGCCTGCCTGCCTGCCTTGACGTATTGTATTCAATGTCACGTTTCATGACGATGACGCTGCAAACTGAAATGCCAAAAGAGTGACAGATGGAGACAGACTCAGAAAGAGAGAGAGAGAGGGAGATGGTGTGGGTACGTCTGTCAGAGCGAGATGCTGCACAGGTGCAACGGTAGACGTTTCCTGTGCTGCCTACTCCTTCTGCTCCAGGCCGTTGCAGTTACTTATTTTTGCTTTTGTTACATTTGATTGTCGCAAACGAAGTGGAAAAGTAAATGTTGAGCACACACACACACACACATGCAAAGGCACGCACCATTCCAAGCACTGGAATGCACACTAATTACTTACTCTTTGGCCGCCTAAGGGGCTGGGGTTGGTGTAAGGAAACTGGTTTTACTTTAACGCTTCTATGCCTGAGCCATTTACACTCTCTATTTGCCTTTCGTTCTGTTTTATTTCTTTTGCATTCTTTTCTTTCATTTTTTTTTTCTTTTTGCAAGTGATAATTGAAAAGCAGCAGCAGAAATTATTGGCCTTTGTTTGTGCGCACGCAGCAAACGGACTGCGGGCGATCCCTTGGTTGATGGCGCGTGCTGTGTGGGCGGCTGGGTTGCTTGGCTGGTTGGCTGGTTGGCTGGATGGCTGCCATGGCTGGCAGACGTATTGTAAAAGTCATTCAGATAAGTAAAGTACAATAGAGAACGAATGCGCTTAAGCTACAGATAATATCGTTTTAATGGAAATGGGCAAAATTAATAACCCACCACATTGGGTGCCATGAGCAACGAGCGCAGAAGTCAATTAATCCTGGAATATACATACATACATATGTATGTGTGTGCGTGTATGTATGTATGTAAGTAGTTTAAAGAAACATATTCATTATCAATAAAATGCTATAGCTTCAGGTTAATTCTTTCTCTTCTTTGTGGATTCATGCTTGCTTTCCCAATCAAGTAAAGCGATATTTTTCCATTTTAATAGCCAATGTCGATTTGCATATCGTTACTGTGTAATCATAACTTTAATGTTTTAGCTGCGCACGCAAAGTTTTAGCCAAAGCATGCGACAACAGCAAAAGTAGCATAAAAAACATTAGCTAATTGCTATGTGATTCCAATTCGTGTCGCATTCACGCGCACACGCACACGCATGTATGCATGCAAAACTATGTAACCTCAAATTTTGGTTAAAATAACAACAAGAGAGACAACAACAAAATTGACTCCTCGCACAACGTGCATTGCTTTGCTTAAACACACATACATATGCATTAGTTTTTCTCTCATTCTTTCGCTTCCCCCTACGTACATACATATAATTGGTTTCGCTGTTCTAAAAGCATTCGCTAGAAACTTAATTATGTAGTTCGCGTGAACAAGCGGCTTATTGAACAGTTACGGCAAACTTTGTTGCGTACGTATGTATTTACAACGTGCAAAATAGCAATTATCTGGTAACTAAATTTACTTTTCATCTACTGTGTATTTGTTTAAGTTGCATAAGTTATATTATATTATGCATATTGTATGTAGGTATGCATATGCATGTATGTACCCATGTTTGTGTGTAAAATATTTTTATTTGCCTATTTTTCTCCATCTATGTATGTATGTATGTACATGTATGTATGTATGTATATACATACATATAATAATGACACACGCATTTTGACGTTGAGGCCGCGCATGTATTCGAATTTACGCTCAAATACAAAAGTAGCGTTGCCACTCAGAGTTGCCATACTGCAATGTGTAATAGTGCAGCGATTGGCGGACATATTTGTATATCGTCACCGCAGTGTTGCTATGGCAAACAACTTATCGATTGCTCAAACAGTGTATTGACTAATCGTAAAGTCCATGTACATTTGTACATCTCTAAATTTTGGCTAAGACGCTAAACAACGTAAAAGAGAGAATGAAAATTTCACTTAAACTTGCGCCAAAATAACTTGCAAGCTTAAAAACTTCGAATTCATAGTTGGACACATTATGCATTATTTACGAATCGTGTAGCAGTGAACATATATCAAGAAAAGAGTAATTATAACAAATAGAAGCACAACGCGGCAAGGCGTGCGAAAAATAGTTCACCTAGAAGTAGGTGGAGGAGGTGGTGAACTTTGAAGGGAATTGCTAGCAGCCCAACGTAAACACCTCGTTGAAATGTACAGCCACTAGTAATACTGTATAAAAGTGGCGTTGGTTTCGGATTACTCGAATTACGAACGGTATTTACAAAATATGCAGGTAAGTGTTGAGCATTTGATCATTTTCAATAGATTTGGAGGGATTTGAACAATGCGTATGTTGCAGCAAGTGGACGATCCGCCATCGCTGCCCGTGGGCACCGAGGTGAGCGCCAAGTACAAAGGAGCCTTCTGCGAGGCCAAAGTCAGTAAAGTGGTTCGTAACATCAAAGTGAAGGTCGCCTATAAACAGGGTCTCGGCTCGGGCATTGTATCAGACGATGCCATCAAGGCGCCACCTGGACAGCTGCGTGTCGGCGCCGTTGTCGAAGTGCGTCATCCAGATCGCAAGGAGAATGTGGAGGCGACCATAACTAAAATCCAGGATTGTTCACAATATACGGTCGTCTTTGATGACGGCGATATCACAACGTTGCGTCGCACTGCGCTCTGTCTGAAGAGCGGCAGGCATTTCAATGAGAGCGAAACATTGGATCAGCTGCCGCTAACACATCCCGAGCACTTCGGCAATCCGGTTGTGGGCGGTCGTCGGGGTCGTCGTCGTGGCCAATTGAACGATGGCAGCTCCGACGATGATGACGAAAGCGATGCAAAGGAAGTGGTCAACGAGAAGGAGGAGCACATTGGCAAAGTGGTGTGCGTGGAGACCGAGTCCAAGAAGAAGGACAAAGAGAAATGGTTTCCCGCCCTTGTCGTGGCGCCCACAGCGCAGGTCAGCAAACAGGTAACTCAAAGCCTAATTCAATTTCCAATTACAATCATAATCGAATCAATTACAATCAATAGGCTACTGTGCGGATACGCGTCAAGGACGAGTATCTCGTGCGGTCCTTCAAGGATGGCCGCTACTACACAGTGCCCAAGAAGGAAGCGAACGAATTCACACGTGAAATGGCCAGCAAACAGGACGTGCCCGCTGTTAAGGCAGCTTTCGAATTCCTCGACAGCAGCAAATTGCCAGCCCACTGGGATCGCGACTCGCTATTCGGCCTATCCAATCTGACTAGCGACGATGAAGGCGAAATCGATTCGGACTCGTCGGACGACGAGCCACACGAGGAGAAGGATCGCTTCGTTGCCCAGCTATACAAGTATATGGACGATCGGGGCACACCATTGAACAAGGTGCCATCGATACAGAGCCGCGACGTGGATCTGTACCGTCTGTTTCGGGCGGTGCAGAAGCGGGGCGGCTACAATCGCGTCACCGCCAAAAATCAATGGAAAGTAATTGCCATGCGGCTGGGCTTCACGCCCTGCACCCTAAGCGTCATGAATCTGGTGAAGCAGGCCTATAAGAAATTTCTACAGCCCTATGGGGACTTTCATCGCAAGCTTGGCTGCTCCCTGCTGATGACGTCTCGCGCCTCGAATCGCAGCAAGGGACGCAGTCTGGTGCGTGCCAATTCGGTGGCCTCACCCAAGCCGGTGGAGACCACGAAGATAGAAACGATTAGCAAACTGGCGATGCCCAATCAGACCACGGTGGCCGCCAGTGGCGCCTCCTCCACTGCCGCTACATCTGCAGCTGGCAGCAGTGCAGCAGCTGCAACGCCTGTTCGCGCCGCCTCGACGGCCTCACAGTCGGCCACTGAGGAATCGGAGAACACCAGCGAGTCCAGCGTGGCCGTGGAGCCGGTCAAAAAACAACGCAAAGCATCCGCCGCCAACAGTGGCAAGGTCAAGAGTCTTGTTGAGAAATACGAGGAGAAATCATCGTCTGTATCCAGCATTGGCCCAGTCGCAACAGCAGCGCTCAACACGAGCAATGTGAGCAGCGCTGCGACAGCTGCAGCTGGAGCAGCATCAACAGCAGCCGGAGCAGGAGCAGCAGCAGCAGCAGCAGCAACAACATCAGCTGCTTCGTCCGCCGCAGCAACAGCAGCAGCTGCTGCCAGTGTCAAGGCCGAGGCTGAGGCGGATATGCCGCTGGCCAAGATCAAGGCCTCGTCCGTATCGACGCGCAACAGCATGGACAAGGAGCCCAGCGCTGGCGGCAGCAATGCATCCAGCAAGGCCACCTCGGAGACCCAACGCAGTCGCGATGCATCGCCAACAACGGGTAAGTGCAAGAGACCTTAACTTAGTCTTCACATAGAAGGATGTTAATAAGGTAGTTGGATGATTCATCCAGTCAAATACACCTTTAATTGTCTTTCTCTAGTTGGGAACAAAAAAAAAAAATAATAATAATAATAATTAAGCAGGAGACCCAATTCATCTTCCGACAGTCCCTAGATTAGCTTCACTTTCACCTTGTGGTAGGCATTGGCGAGCACGCCACGTAGATTCCATATGTTCTCGAAGCTCTCCGGCTGCACATTGTAGGCGGAGTCCACGGCCTTGGCCCAAATCGCAAGTTCCGATTGCTTCCGCTGCTCATCGGTTACTGGCAAACGAATGGACCACAGCGACCAGCCATAGTGGCGTCCATCGGGCACACTCTCCTGCTCCAGTTTGGCGACATGCCACGTTTTGCCGCCGTCGTTTGTCAAATCCACGCGCTCGATGCGTCGACCGCCGCCGCTCCAGGCATAGCCATAGACGGTGATGTGACCGTTGTCCAGCCTCACTCGTTCCTCGGGCATGGGCGAGCAGATGGCCGAGGTTACTGGCATCGCTTGTATGGCCTGTGCCTTGCCAAAGTCCACGGTGTCCCAGTCGGTGCTGGGACTGAAGCCCTTGTAGTCGTTCTGCTGCCAGTGGGAATCGGACTCGTGATCGGCCACAACGATGCGGGTCAACCACTTGACATTGCGCGCGCCCACAGTGCCGGGCACGATGACCCTAATGGGATAGCCATGGTCGCGCGACAGTGGCTGTCCGTTCATTTCATAGGCCAGCACCACATCGCCCCGCGGATCTAGCGCCTTGGACAGCGGTATTGAAGCACCGTAGGGATGTGCCGTCGGATCCAGGTCAGCGCCCTCGAATATAACCTGCAAGTGCTCATCGGGCTCCACGCCCTGGGCACGCAGCACATCGCAGAGGCGGGCGCCCGACCACTTGGCATTGCCCACGGCTCCAGCGCCCCAGGACAGGCCTGGAAAGCAGAGATTCGATTAGATCAGATCAGATCAGGTCAGAGTGGGAGGTTTACCTTTGACGGGCTTGATGCGCGTCATTTCGGAGCGACGATTGCCGCCGCACATGATGGCCGCCGTGACAGTGTGCTTGGGCAGCTTCTTAATCTCATCCAAATTGAAAGTGCATTTGCTCGACTTGCCAGCGCCCGCTTCCACCTCCAGTTCGAGCTCATAATCCTCAGCACTGATGCATGGCACGGGCAAATGATTTCGCACATAGAACAGCTCGTTGGGCGTGTAGAAGTGCTCGCCCAGCATGCTGATTGGCGGCTCCGCATTGAACGGCCGCTTGCTGGCCGGCTTGAGCAATTCGTGGCGTTTCGGCTCTTGTGCCCAGGGTGAGCCCAGCTCATCGGTTTCCGGCGCTTCCACTTTGTTCAGATTGCCAATGCGAAAGCTCTCCAGCAGGTCGAGCACCTCCAATGTATTGTGCTGCTGGTAGATGGCCCAGAAGGGATCGATGGCGTTGCCCGCGGCCATCATTATTTTATCGCCGCCGGGATGATTGGGCGCGAATTCGGTGACATCGTAGACGCCTATTCCGTAGGTGACCCAAATGCCATTCTCTGGCGTATCATGCTTCAGCACATCCTCCACACTGTACGTGGGCAGATCCGTACGATTTGTGTTGTGCCAGAGGCGTGCCGCCTCTTCAGCGTCCAAAGTGGCTGGAGATGGCGTTGCTTTTTGGGGCTTCGCCAATTGCACTAGCTGGCGGTGCCTCTTGTCCAGCTCATGGAACAGCCAATAGCCGACACCAATGCCGCCCAGTGCAGCAGTTGCATAAAGCGCTCGACTGCCTCCTGGCTGATACTCCTGGTGCTCCTGCTGATGCTGTCCAGCTGCGCTTGTTGCCAGCAGACGGTGACGTTGCCGATTGCCCAGACGCAGCTGTTTGCTGGCCGTGGTCAGGAGACGTAAACGCATGATGTTTATATTATATAATCAGCCGCTGCTGAGCAACCAAGTCCGTTTAAGTCTTCGTCGCAGCGCGAATTGTCACATTATCTGGAACGCACGACTAGAGGGAAACGTTTTGTTTGCTTTTTATTTTTGTATTTCTTGTTAGGTTTGTAGCGTTGGCCCCCAAATTGTCGCAATGCTTGAACTATTGATAAGATCAATGTGAAGCCGATTTAATCTTTGTTCTCTTTCTTTAATCTCTTCTTGGGGGTCTGTTTTGAGCTTTCCTTTTCAGTTTTCGTTTTTTTTTTTTTTTTTTTTTGTTTGTGCTTTGGTTGCGCCGGCATAAGCACGTAC